GGCAAGGCGAGTCTCTGTGTTTATGTGTGATAGTGTAAAGTACTCACTCTTACATTTATTTTTCAGGTGACCAAGACAATCAGCACCGAGCTCAGTGAAGGGATTGATGAAACTACTATAGGACATAGAAAGTTATTTTAAAAACACTGATGTATTTAAATTAGTTATGTAGCAATCATTTGATATAAACTTGTAATTCATCCTTATTTTGAAATACTTTATTAAATTATGTATTAGGAACCGTTTGAATGAAAATTTTTATTATTCCTATTTTTATGAAATTTAGTTATTTAAAAATTAAATTAAAGTGTTATAATTTTGGTATTAAAGCAGTTCATCCAAACTGAACTGGGGTATTTGGGCTAAAGCGTCCAAGCTGTGTATTGATGTGTTTTGTTTGCCTGAATTGTAAATGTTGTTGTTAATCCGACTTGTTAAAAATGTGGTTTGTTAATTTGTTTGCTAGACTAAAGTTAGAAATAATCGATAGAGGTAGAGGAGTTGGAGTCACCACTTACCTCCTAGAGCGGATGACTCAAGTTCTAGAGATCTTGGTCCACAACCAAGATGTGGAACTAGCTAAATACCAAGGGTTGTCTACCTTCAGTAGGCATAACCTTCCAAAGTTTGAGGGCAAGTTTAACCCTGAAGGAGCCCAGAGGTGGGTGGTGGATGTAGAGAAGATCTTTTATGTAATGGGGTACAAGGAAGAGCACAAGATGATTTACGCCACATACATGCTATGTGGGGAAGCGGAAGACTAGTAGAGGTTTGTTAGTTAGACTTTGCTACAAGAAGGTCGCTATATTCATTGGGAGACATTCAAGGCGAGCTTCTTGGGAAACTATTTTCCCCGAGATTTGAAGAAGCAGAAACCTTGGGAATTCCTTGATCTAAAGTAAGGAAGTATGACAGTGGGAAAATATGCAGCCAAGTTTCAATAGGTGATGAAGTACTGGCCTCACTACTAACATGAAGAAGGAGAAAAGAACTTGTATGCTCAGTTCAAGCACAATTTGAGGCTAGAAATTCGTGTTGCAGTCAGTGTATTTCAATTGACTGACTTGCCTACCTTGGTGAGCAAGTGTCGAATTTTTGAAGCCAATTGGAAGGGAAAGACTATAGACACCAGGGGGAGTGGTCCAATGAGGCAGGATAGAAGACTCCTTAGGTTTTCGAAGGGGCTGTATTCGAGCTCCAGCCACTCTCAATCCAGAGGGACTTCATCATAGGAGAGGAGCAGTGGTAGTGGCTCAAGTTCAAGCTCTTTCAATGAGCCGATCAACTACTTCAGGTGTGGAGAACCACATATGTTAAAAGATTGCCCACAGCCACGAGCCAACTGTGGTAATTGCGAGAAAAGATATTAGGAACAAAAAGTGATGAAGGAATTACTGTGAATAATTACAGAGATACACTAGAGGTATGAAATATGCGGCCGATTGTGATAATTTGGAGGAAATTTAGGGTGGTGAATGATATTCGCCTAAATATACACAATTTGTCTGAGAGTGAATGATATTTGCCTAAGTGTACACAATTTGTCTGAGAGTGAATGCATCACATGACCTCATACTCATTTCCTGACTAACATCTCTGCCTATACCTTTGCTAAGTGCCCTATATTGTATACATCGTATCCATGTGCAAGGGTTAACAAGCGACTATTCACCTATCTATGTAAGACCTCATGAAATGTTGGAGGCAATTAATAACTGTGATCACAATGCACTAGAAGATACGTAATCAAGAGTGAGAAATATATTGATTATGTGATGAAAATATATGTATGGTGACATCTTGATGTGTTATTATTATATTTGATACTTTGCAACAAAATGTGATATTTGAAAACTGTATATGCTTTTAGTGATGAGGAAGAAACTCATTCTTACAAATGTTTTTAGGGAACAAGGATGACAAACCTACAAAGACCTATTAGGCTGTCAGAGTGTTTTGTAAATGGTAGACTTAATTACGTATTTAAAGAGTGTTAATGGTTCTATCATTGTTGGTTTATTATAGATAATGAACTTGGTGATATATTTACATTAGAGATGGATATAGGGTATACCTTTTGATTACCAAGTTAGTAGTAGGATTCATCACATGCTTAGCTTGCACATATATCGGGAAACAATTCGAATGCCAGACATGGTGAACTACGTGTATACCTTCCATGACCATGACCAGATGGGTAGACCATGTACCTTTACTCGAGAGGTAGAGATTGACACCAAGGTTGTGGCTGATTCTAGAGACTTCAGAGAAAACGAGGACTTAATTGCAGAGGAGCTAGCAGAGATAGCGGATTAGTTTGAGGATGATGACTAGGATTTAGTGTTTTGAGTATGGATAAAGACTGCTTTTAGGATTTAGTTTATTTTGACTTTGTAATTATATATTCTTAATTCTAATGTATTTTGTTAACAGTTTGAAAACATAAAAATTTTGCATGTCAATTAAATTCAGTACTTGAATACTTTCTATTATTTTAATACAAGTGTGATTATTAAGGTACAATTTATTTATTATTATTATTTTTAACATCTTGAAAAATTTTGTGTATGAACTTATACACAACAAGAAAGTTTTAATGTTATTGTATTTTTAAACTACCTAATTTATAATAAATTTATTTTATTACTATATCTCGTCATAAATTTTATATATATATATATATATATATATATATATATATATATATAATTTTATTTTTCAAATGAGAAATTAAAGGTGTTGCACTTTCTTTATCTCTTTTTCTAAACTTTTAAACAAAGCTTAAAATATGATTACATCATTACATGCTATTTTATTTTTTGAAGTATTATTATTACATGCACAACATAAGTCAAGTAAATAATAAATATTTTCTTAATCTTTATTATAAAAAATAAATGATAGATTCAAAGTACATTAATTTTTAAATTTTATATATTTTTTATTAATATCATTAAATATATAAATTATTAATTATATTATTTAATAATAAAGATATTTTTAGAATAAAATTTATATTTATAAAAAATATAACTGATTTAATTGCTTTTTTTAATCTTATAATTTAGTTTTTTTTAAAAAAAATTAGAAGAAGTATTAAATGATATAAAAGATAGAGAAAATAATGTTTAACAGAATGGAAGGAGTAAACAAATACTTTCTTAATTAAAAAATTGACTTGGAGTGCATTCAACCAAAAGGCAGGGCATACGCCATCTTTTATTTGACTTTAGTCAACAATTCCGGTGGCAATGGGAGTGGTTCAACAAAAATAACAGTTGTCATTAATAATTGCAAAACAAGATTATCCAAATTAATTACTAAAAATAATGGTGTGTGATACACACGAGACAAAAATTACAATCGTTATCACACCTCCTCGATATTGTCTATTGGCTACACTTCTATTTAGTATTTTCATTCAAAATATTTATTTCTTCCGTATATTATTTTAAAATTAATAATTTTTCTTGTCATTTTTAGTCTGAATATCTCATAAAAGGCTAAAAACAAAACTATCAAATGCATGAATTAACTATCATGAGATTACTTTCATTTAATTAACAATTTTAAATTAAACTTCTAAATATAAACAATATTAAATACTTACAGATTTTTATAAAAAAATATTTATCATTTAGATATAAAAAAATAAACTAAATAAAATTTTAAAAACTAAAAAAAATTATGATAAATAAAACATAAAAAAAATAGAGCTTTCATAAAAATTTAATTAGAGGAACTTTAGATTTTAAAAAACTTTGAAAAAGGAGTCAAATACAACTTTAATTTATTAATAAAGTGTTTCTTAAAAATTAACACATTTAATTCTTAAAATATCTTTTTTCAGTTTCAATTTTAAATTTTTTTATTAAATATTATGTATACCGTTTTTCTAATTTTAATTTTTCTCTTTCAATGTTTTTTCGTTATACAAATTATTTTTTTTATTTCTATATAGTTTTTAATGTTTTAATGTATTTTAATTATAATTTTTAATTTTACCCTCCTAAAAAGAAAATATATTTTATTTAAATTTTAAAATATGCATGTAACATGCAAAAACTTATCAGATGTAGGTTAAATAAATATATGTACAGTTATTCTTGATATAGAACCCGTAAATTCTATTATATAATCTTTTATTCATAAAAATTAAAAGTATGTTTGGATAATTTATTTAATTAAATATTTTTTAATATATTTTTATTTATAAAATCCTATTTATAAATTTAATTATAAAAATTATTTAAATATATTTTTATAAAATTTAGTAAAATGAGTCAACATAAATCATAAAAATTTAAATTTGAACAAATTTTTTACAATAATTTTGAAAGAAAAGTAAATATTTTATTGATATAGTTCAATCCACTTAAACAGAATTATTTTTAATGAAAGATATTTGTGATTTAGATAATTTTTTTAAATAATTTGAGAATTAATTATATTTTTTCTTCTCTTTAAAGGTAAAAGTATTGTCTCTCTCTTGCTATTATGTATCGGCTATTTTTTTTTATATATTTATTACATTAAATTTTTTATTTATTTAAATTTATTTAAAAATCATTTAAAAGAAATAATTATTTTTAATTTTTTAATTTTTTATCGATTATATCTTTAATTTAAAATAAAAAAAATTAATCAATGGAATAAATAAAGTAATATGAAAACAACATATAATAATTTTAATAAAAATAAAAATAAAAATTATTCTTTAATATTTGTATAAAACTAGTGACAGATAAGAAAAAGAATGGGAAGAGTAATAAATTAAAAAATCAAAACCTTGCAATTTAAGATATTTTACATTAATAAAAGTTAATAAAAAACATAAATGAATAAAAAAATCCACCAACAAAAGAAATTAAAAACGCACAAAAACTGTTAATAACGAAATCAAATATTAGTAAAAAAAAAAAAACAAACTAAGGCCCACATACCACTCACCAGTCACCACCATATACCAATAATTGATCATTCTCTTCCTAATCCCTTCTGTGTACAAGCTGTCACCTCTCTCTCTCTTCTCTCTCTCTCTCTCCTCGCTTGCTACGCCTTCTCCTTCTTCTCTTCCCAATCCCAAAACCCATATCACTGATCCTCCCACCTCCAAACCTCAAAAACTCAAAAACCAACAACGTTATTCTTCCATCACCCACAAAAACGAATACCATAAAATCCCACAAAACAAGTCACCATACAAACCATGTCTTTCTTCCATTACATCACCATTCACCTACTTCTCCTAACTTGTTTTCATTCCGCACGTGCGAGCACGACCACCACCTCGAATGCGAGCACCATCTACGAGGTTCTGAGCGAGCACGGTCTCCCAATGGGTCTGTTCCCAAAGGGAGTCAAAGAGTTCGAGTTAGGGAACGATGGTCACTTCTGGGTACACTTGGATCAAGCGTGCAACGCCAAGTTTGAGAACGAGTTGCATTACGAGCGAAACGTTTCGGGCTTCCTCAGCTACGGCATGATCGATGCTTTGAGTGGCTTAGAGGCTCAGGATCTCTTCCTCTGGTTCCCCGTCATGAGCATCCGCGTCGACCTTCCTAGCTCTGGCTTGATTTACTTCGATGTTGGTGCCGCTTACAAAAGATTCTCCTTGTCCCTCTTCGAAACGCCACCTGAATGTGTTGCCGTTCGTTCTCACCCTCAAGATCACCTTCCACCTGCTTCTAAGGTTGTGTGTCGATTTCTTCTTCTTCTTCTTCTTCTTCTTCTTCTTTTAATGTGCAAATGTTATGATGGTGATCTTAGCTACAGAGTGGTGATTCATGGCTTGATTTTGAATGCCTCTTAAGAGAGGCGATCACGTTTAGTGAGTGTTTGGGTTTGCTTTTTTTTTTTTTTAATGGAAATAATTGCTTATTTTTTAAAAGAATTGCCAAAATAAGTGAGTATTTTCTCGAACTAAGCTGAATCAAATGTTACTTAACTAAGCTGAACTAGCCTGCTATCAATGATATCTGTGGAAAAATAAAGAAAGAAATATGGTGGTGATGTTGGTCATGGTCAATTTCTACGGTGTTGACTTAGTTTGGAGGATGGTCGTGCTCTTACTGGGGATTCCTTATGTTTGGTGGTTGAGTAGATTCACATGGAGATATGGAATGATGGGTTGAAAAGTTTTGATCCTTTGGTTTTTTGGAAAAAATTGTTTATCCTTGTTTGGATTTTTCGTTTTTGATGGATGGGGAATTTTATTTTTTCTGGGGAGTATTTAGCTGGCAATGTCTTGGAGGGAGGGCTGGAAAAGATGGTGTTATTGGCCAAATTTGATGGTTGTGGTTTTGGTTTGGTGGATGCTTCAAGTTCTTAATCCGCAAAACCATTCCTTTTTGGTGATTAAGTAGATGCACATAGATAATGGAACGATGGATTGAAAGGTTTTGATCTTTTTTCTTTTCATCATATTTAATTATTGTCGTACTGTAGGGGAGTTATCTTGAGTTTTAGTACATTGGGAAAGTTTCTCTGTCTAAGTATATATTCTGTTGGTCTTAATTATGACATTATTCTTTCTTAGGAGGCTTCACGAGTTAAATTTGGATCTTGATTCTTCAGTGAGTTAGTTTCTTATGTTCTGTAGACCGATGTTTTTGCTTCTTGCTCTTACTGTATCCATATGATTAATGGCCTCTTGTGTACTGCTGAATGTTAATAGTTGCATACAGATTGTGAGCATCTTATGCCTTTCTGTTCTAATTTAAGGGATTGGGCTAACGAAAGTATCTTGCATTATTTCATGTGCAGGGTCAATCTGGAAAGCTTCAGTATAAACTTGATCAGGGAACCTCTGGAAGTGATGTTCTATAGACCGTGCAGAAAAGGGTGAATGAACTTTTCCTGTAGCACAACCATCATAGATGCTCCAATCAGATTGTATGCCTTCGGAGAGTATAAATTAATAGGTCCATTGATTTGGACCTGCTGTGTTGTTTGTGTTATCTCCCTATATAGTGCAGAGTTAGTGTAGTAGAGGCAACCTGTGTCTTGGTAATTTATTGATTCACAGGTACTTATATAAAGGGAAGCGTTTCTGATTGAGAAGATAGTGATAATGGAGCATTTTGTTGAAATGGATTCAGGTGAAAAGTCCGCAAAGATTTTGTTGTATGTCAGATGTTATTGTATTATAAGAATATATTGGGGTGTTTAGTTGAATCAAATTTATGATATTTGTTTAAAATAGATAGAGACTTGATATGAAAATTCGTTATTAGAATTTACATGTTATCGATTTTGTGAATACATTTATCCATCTATCATAGATTATACATGTTATAGTCATTACCCTTTGTCCTTGTGTTTTAAAAATGGGTTCTTCCACGTGTTTCCCCTTCCATAACTTTAAGTGGTGTGGTACCATATCTTAAATGAATTTTATATTGTTTCAGTAATTGTTGGGGATGAAACTTGAGTGAAATTTATATGGGTTTTATTAATCTCAGTTCTTAGAGCTGAGTTTAAGTATGCAAAAATAGTAAGATTTTATTGAAAAAAAGAAACACATTTATTACATTAAAATTATAAAAGTGTGATAAATGCTTCTTTTTTTTTGCAATAAAAATTTACTATTTTTATATATTTAACATTTTCTAATATATTTATTTGATGTAGATTAGCAATCATATCTGTTTCATTGAGGGACTTCTGCTTAACTTCTTTTTCCCTAGTCTAACCATGGCAAGGCAAGCAGAGGCTTTTAGTAACATGTATATTTCTGATGGTTTTCTTAAAGGCCTCCCATTTTTCAGAACTTATTAATTTTAGATCTATTATTGACTTGCCTTCCTTGATACTGAAATAATGCATTGAGGCACAGGAATGTTTAAGATTTACCTAGCTGGTGTATTCAGGTTGCATGCTTCTCTAGATCTACAATTGCATTAATGCTGATCATCATATATGGCAGACTTTCAGTTAAAAACTTTATAGCTTGCTATCTGTTTGGTCTTGACTATTAGTGAAGGTTAACATGCTGCTACTTGATTCCCAGTGATGTAGAAGTGGTTACACTTTACACTGTTCAAGATCATATGATTAATTGGTTTTTACTTTTTTGTTTGAGGAAGGCTAACTCAATCACTTGTCTATATTTGTTGTAATATAATGAAAGTCATTGAACTGACTATTTTGAGTAACATTGCCAGTTCCTTCAGCCCTACCATACATCTAAATGAATGGAGTGGAAAGCCATAGTTTTCTATGCAGGCTGAATTGACTTTTCCAACCTCGAGCTATACTTTGTGAAAGCTGCCAGAAGGTTTCCCAATACAGTTCCTTATAGTACTTGCTTTGTATTACGTGGACAAAAAGAAAAAAGGTTACAAGACAATATTTCGGAGCTGTCCTGTTCTGAAACAGTATAATCCTAACATGAGAAGTGCTAACTGTACAACAAAATTATATATATATATATATATATATATATACGTACTTACTACTAACATCGTTACCTTGGTGACTATTGGCTAATCCAGGTGTCTTGAGATTGAGCTAGTGATAAATGACCAGAAAGAGTAAATTGTAATTAAACGTTAGGCTGTTGGTTGAAGACTATTTTTAGATAGGAACCGATTATGTTACTTAAAAGTTATTATTTGTTGCTAATGAATATCTTAGAAGTGCATTGAAAAATTAAAACAAAAGTGCAATTTTTTTAGGCCAAAAGTGCATTGATATATATTTTTTATATTTTAAGATTCTGGTTGTTTATTTTATTAATAGCAGTTTCTTAACTTTCACTAGCTGTAACCAAAAGATCTGTCATCTTTAGCTTCGTTCCATAATCTTTTTGCACGTTCATTTTCTCAAATTCCTTTCTGATAATGCCATTTTTTTTCTTCATGTTTTACTTTTTAATCCCTAAGGACATTTTATCCGACAAATTGGTTACTTGAGTGGAATTGGAGTATCCAACACGTGATGCAAAAGCTCCCGAAGGTCAAGCCTTATAGATTGGAGGAGGTTGACGAAGTTGTATAATAAAGATGGGAGGGGTCTACATCATGAAATTATTTCGCTATCCTTTTTCTCCACCAATCTTTGATGATTATGTGCAAATGCGTGATAGAGGATAGACATGTTTTTTCTCCACCAATCTATGATGATTATGCAAATGCATTCTAGAGGATAGACTTGTTGAAATCAGGGACAAGAAAACATTTTTCGTTCAAATTGATCTAGCTTTTTTTAAGGGCATAATCAAGGCTAATGTCCCCCCATTAATGAATTAAGATGTTACTCAGTGCATGTCAGGATTTGGAGCACCTCATCGTTGAATTGCATGTGTTAGAAAAAATAGATATATTTGACATTTTTCTAACATAAACCAATGTCTAAACACTATGTTACACATTCGCATATATCTCACACTATTCACTCCGAGTGCCTTAGAAATGGTCAGCATAATTTTACATTGGTCAATTTGTTGCCCCAAAGAAGCTGACCGGAGAGAATCCAGATTGAAAGCACCAAGATTATTTATGAGACCTCATCATTTTAGTTTTTTATTTATTAATTTAATCTTTGAAATTTATTTATTGTCTATAATATATCCTTTATTTATTTCATTAATATACACACATACATTCACTGTCTATCTATTCTAAAATAAGTTAACATTCCATTATAATTAAACTTAAATTTCAATTAAATGGTGAATACACTTGACACTAATAGCCAAATTACTTCAATGCATTAAGTTGTAATTGTAGTTATACACGTAAAACTTGAGTATGACTCCTTGGATACTCAAAACAAAAACACTCCAGGAAGATAGGACACAACACACTACACTTATCCTCATGAGAATTTGGATCATTGCATATTATTAAATAAAATGATACTGTCATTTTGAAGAGAAAAAGATACAATTTTAATTAAATTTAGTTAACAATATGTGAGGATTCAAATTCTATGAAAGATTCCCTCAACTGTATATAAAACAATAAAGGTCTTCTCTTCTTTCCTTTTCAAGTAGCGGTTGGTGAGGGAGAAGTTTAATCCCTTAGTGAATAGAAGATAGGTCTTCTCACTTTTGTTTGGTTTTTTTTTCCCCGGTGTTTCTTGAAGTGGGAAGGCCTAAAAAATTTGGCTCAAATAGCACAAGTTTTGATGTAAGGAAGAGAATTGTTGGAAGTGCTTCATGTTTATAATTTGACTATGCCTTAGAGACAAAAAGATGGAAATATAATTTTGATTTGCGCTGTAGAATGGTAGTTCCATTTCGTTCTAGTAAATTGACTAGTGTTAGTGTCTCATGGGACTTGAGATTTGTGAGTTATGCAAAGAGACTTGAGATTTTCAATGAGTACAATACACAAGATAACTTGTTCAAATACACTAAACATACATACTTATCTTAGACATTTCAATAAAACAATTCATTAAATTAACTTTTGGTTTTCAACAAACTTTTGAGTAAATAGCTCACTTAAAATAATTCACAAGTTTCATAAAATAATATTTACTTAAACATCAAGTGTAAATAAATCTTTAATCAAAATTAAGAGCCATCAAAATCAAACATACACTTATAGATACATTATAAAACATAGAAAGTCTCAAGTGAAGGTTCAAAGATATCAACATATAATTCAAACACCATATGTCTTCTAATACATGTGTTTGTTCTAAATCTCAAGGTCGGGACAATTCTCTTTTATTTATTTTCTTTCTTATTGTTTACTTGAAGTACCTCCTCTCATTTAGCTTTGAGTGAGACTCTTTTTCTTGGACTTCCCATATTGGAATTCAAAATTTCTTGGTTCATTGCGTTCCTAGTTTAGAGAGGAGTCTATTAAAATCTTTTGAGCCAAAATGAAAAAAATGTATTATTTTTAAAAATTCAAAAATAGCAACACACTCATGTAGAAAATTGAAAAACTTCAGATTTGTACAATGTTTATAAAATTGAGTGTAACATAGTTAAACGAAGTCCAAATCACGATCCACAAATTTTGTTAGAAAGCTATGATTCTAAGGATCAAAATTAACTTTTAAAAATTCAATTTTGATGCATAGGAAAGTGCAAAAAAATTAAACATCACTGCTATTCACACAGGTTTTTCAGCTTTGCACCATTTTTGTAATTTATTTGGTAAGGTATTCAAATGAAGTACAAAATTAACATAAAAGTATGAGCTGGAAAGTTGTTTTCATATAATTTATGAAAATTAATTTGATGGGTTAAAACATATTACTTAAAAGTGAAAAAAAAATGTTTTCTTCCATTATCAATGCAGAAAAGTAAAAAAATGAAGGTACGTACTCTAAGTGATTGAGAGAGCAAATGATGTCGAATTTAAACTCAAGATATAATGTTGAAAAGATAATTCTACAAGAAATATATAGGGATGTTTGTATGTCAAGTTCAAAGATCATAGAAATGAGAAAAATAGTCTCATTTACTGCTAAAATACAAAAAATGCCAAACAAGAAGGGGATTTACCATTATCTTTGTAAATTAATGATTCGATGTCTATTTTGGGTAAAATAAGTTGGGTTGGAATAATTTTTTACTGCATAATCCGAATATACAGATGTTAGGCTAAAAAAAATATGTTTAGATTATCAAAATTGACTCATACAATAGTTGGATGTAGAAAACTCAAAAGCTTTTCTAGAGAGATACAAAAATCTCATCTCCTTGTTTTGATTAGTGAAAACACTAAGAAAAGAAGATGAAAACTTTGTTTCAGTATTCAAAACAATCAACACTCACCTCTTCAATATGCAAGAATGGGAGCAACAATCTTGGCGCAATGGAAGTTCTCTTAGTCTAGAGCAAAGAACCAGCCTTTCCACTACTATATCACCTTTATTAATATGTATTACGATTACAAATCAAATCTAGTTAAGGATATTTTAAATAAATCAAAGTATTAGAAAATTTGATCTTTCAAAAATAAATAAAATATGCATTTAGAGAAAAATTATCTTGATGAAATAAAAATAAATACTTTTATCTCAATTTTTTTAACTAAAATCATAAAATTTTGATTAGATAAGGATAGTTAAACATAGTTTGACAGTTCAATCATTAGCGAAACTAATGCATAATAAAGAAGATTTGAATCCTCTCATTAACAATTTTTCCGATGATCAAAACGAATATTGTCATAGAAGTGGGCATTCAATCATGTAATTTAAAGTGATTATGTACTTCAAACTTCCTAAACATGAATTAACCCAAATTAACTATTTTTTCTTTTCTTTTTCTATTCTTTCTATTTTATAAATATTTTTTAAAAAGGAAAATAAAAATATATCAACCAATCTCAACCGAGTCTAATCAGGTTGGTTCAGATAAGATTATAAAATAAACATGATAAATTTGACTTAACCTAACCCGGTTGATAAGTTTTAGTGGTACCTCGTATCTTTTACATTGTAATGCCTTTTTATAAGTATCCGATTCTGAACTATTTGTATATTGGTAATGCTTCGAGTTGAGAATGAGGGATTTGGATCCCCTCCAATTGTGGAGGGAACTAGATGTTTAGTTCCAAAAGAGATTCGCTTAAGCAAATGTATATGGCTCTAGCGGATAAGGGAGCTTGGGAAGGAAGTGAGTGGAGAGGTTGAGCTAATATCGTTGGTGGAGAGAGCGAGTGGGTGTGGCGAGGCTGAGTATGGAAGGGGAGCAGTGTAGGGTCTGAGGTGGAATAGGATTATGTGCAGAGAGCAGAGAGCCAAAGTGGAAGATTTGTTTAATACACTTTTTACGCTATATAATAATAAAATTTAAATATTTTAATCACATAAATTATTTAAAAACAATCTTATAAATATATAATTATAATTAAAGGGTTGAATTGATAAAAATAATTTTCTATATATTATTAATAGTGTAAGAGTAGATGTAACTTACAACAATATATTTGATCCCTCTTTATTTATATATATATTAAAAATATTATATACAGTTTTTTTGGGAAAGAATCTAAAATTAGAAAAATATTCTTGAATTTCATAAAATTAATTAATTTTATATAAGACTTGTTAATGACAATTTGTGAGTTTTTTAATTTTATTTAAATTTTAAATTCTCATATTTCTGTAATTTACTCTAAAATATTATATTTTGGTATATAATTTTTTGTGTTTGAAATATATAATAAAAATTGTTTATTAAAAAATTATTTTATTTCTTATAATTTTTTAACTTTAAAAGCAATAATGTTTTAAAAGACAAAAAAATAAAAAAAGCATATAGTTAAAATCTATAAAATAATAAAATTTAAGACAAAGAAAAAATGAAAAAGATCATCACAGCCAGTTTGAGTAATTAAAAAAAACATTAATCTTATTTGAAATAAAAGTTTTTTAAACCGTTATGCAATCTTTGAAATATAACGCACTTTTTGAGCAAAAAAGAATGAAAGAGAATGACTTGCATGTATGAGTTATAAAGCACCTTTGTTTGAGACTTAAAATAAATTTTATAATGTATATTGAAAGATTAAAATGAGAGTCAATTATTTAAAAATTGATAAATAAGTGAAATACTTTCTTTTTACGTTTCATTTAGAGTACATTTTTTTAATTAAAATTAACTAAAAATTGTTATACATTTTATAATTAAAATTAACTAAAATTTGTTATTTAAATTATTCTTTTATTATAATAATTTTTTATTCATATATTTGTTAATTTCATTCTAAAATTTAAAGATTAAAGTTATTATTTGTTACCTTATATAAATTTTTTTTATTTTATATGAATATTTATTTTTTTATTTATAAAAGTCATCTTAATTTTATCTATTTCTTTGAATTTAGAGTTTACTTTTAATAGTCCCATCTTTTAAATGTATGATTATTAATATAAAAGAATTAGTTTAAAATAAATTATATTTAAAATTATTTAATTTTATTAAATCTTTATTATTATAATATATTATTCATAATTATAGAGTTAAATTAAAATAATTTTAAAAATATTGTTTAAAATAATTTTAATATATATAATTATTTATCAAAATATAAATTTTTCGTTAATTATTAAATTATATGAATATTTAACATACAATAAAATACTTGTGCATTACATATGTTAGTTTATTTTATAATTTGATGTGAAAAATAACGCTTATCTAATATAGATCTATTATTAAAATATACATTGCACAAGAATACCTATAATATGTACAATTATATACTCAATTACATAAACAAGACTAAGAAAAAGGGATTTCAAATTTTCAAATAAATTATAAATTGATTGAATATACATGCGCTAAAGAAAAACTTACACAATATAATTAGAGTAGAAGAAAATCATAAATTTATTTTTATCAACTTCTACATATAAATTATGGGTATATACTAATTTTTTGAACTAGAGTGTATTAAAATTATTTTTAAATAATTTTTTTATTATATCAAGTAATTTTTTTATATCATATATTTTCTTAATTATTTATTAAAAATTATTTTAATTTAATGTTATTCATGCAGTGTACAAAAAATAAATATTGTAATTAACATCTATTTAATCACTAATAATAAAATTTAGTTATTACTTTACTTTTGATGATAAAAAATAATTTTTTTAATAGTTAACTTTTATTGGCGATATCCTCGCTTTTAATTAATATCTATTTAATTATGAATTAGATTTGAAATGATATCCATACTACTTATTTTTTAGTATTGTAGATAATAATAATGGATTTACAGCTAATACAAAAAAGTGATTGAAATATAAATTTAAATTAATTAATTTTTCATTATTTAATTTATTAAGTATATTAAATTTATCAATTTTTGGAAATATTATAAAACTTTTCATATCAAATATAAATTTTAAAAACTTATTTAAACTATATTATTTAATTATTATTATATCAAACATTAATACAATAAGACTCATAAATATAATCATTCTAAGATACATTATGCTACACTTTCTTTAGAACAAGTATGTGAAGGAAGCAACAAAGTTTTAACTCTAATACCACACTTGCATAGTGTGTTCGAGTAAGAAGTAATGTGAACATAAGATTCATATTCATGTTCACAAATTTTCTCTATTATCATGTACTTTTCATTAGTCAAACCATAGCCATATACACTATTCTTTGTAGCAATAACTAAGAGATCACCATTTAAAACAACAAAACCCTTGATAATAGGATCCTTTTCATTCATTCCCATTGCTTTTACCCTCACTTTCAAGATCCTTTTCCACTTGCTTGATTCGTAATTTGTCAGAATCCATATGGTGAACACATGTTTTCTCAATCTCACTAAACAAATAGATTGACATGAATTAGTGACTTTGCCCCATTTAGAAATTTTCATATCACAAGTAAGGTCATGAGAACCCTTTCTTGCTTCTTTGGGCACTCTCAACATCCTTGAACTCCCGTCTTCAAAGTTATATGATATAATATATGGCCTAAAATAAAGACTCTCTTTTGTAAAGTAAGGAAAACAATCTGAGATGAAATAGATGGCTCCATTGTGATGTACAGGCATGTCAAATATCAAGTTTCTTCCTCCATATAACAAGCTTTTTTCCATTGTTTTCCACACACCTTCCTTGGATAGGTAAACAATGCAATCCAAATTTGACCAATCATCTCCATAAAAAAGAAACACCATCCAGTCACTTGAGTCACATTCAAAACCAACAAAACCACCATTGCTGATATACTTTTGTAAGTGATCAGGGGTTGGAATAGGAAACCAAGACTTTGTTACAGGATTACCAACGAACAATTGGTTTTGGTCTATGGCAAAACAAAGAATCAACCCATTGCTTGAACCCAAAATATTAGTTGACTTAGACAAGAAATCGAGAATATCATTAGATATCCCAGATGATAGTCCCTCTTCAGGTAAAGGGTGTAACTCAATTTTTTCTGTCGTAAATTTGACTACACGATTGAATGAAGAAACATGTGTCATTTCTTGATAATGCATTTTGTGTTTGCTTCAATGCAAAATATGTTTCCTTTGAAAACTTTCTGAACACTTTTCCAACAGACATGAATTTGTAAATAGCTTTTGCCGGTAACCAAGAAAATATCTCAAACAATGTGTCTTCAAATATTGTCATTGTGTGGGAGATTTGAAAGTAAAAGAATATTTCAAGAGGAAGAAAGCAAAAATATACGATAAATAACAAAAACTTTGAAGGCAATCATGTTCTTATATAATAGCAACTAATGATTTAATTTAAAAATAAAATATATCTAAACAAATCTTTTTAAAAATTTAAATTATTTTCGATATCTATCTTCAAGTATTTACTTTTAACCAAAAAGTATATCTATATAAATTTATGTCTAACCAATTCTGTTGGTAACAGTTTTAATTTATTATAAGATTAATTAATTTTTTGTATTAATATTGAAAGCTTTGCATGCCGCAAAATTTAGTAATATTAGATTGTCCGGCACACTGTTCCTTTCCATGTTTATTAAATATACGATTTTTTTTTATCATAGTAATATATACATAAGATTAGGAAATAAGATATATATATATATATATATATATATATATATATAGAAGTATAAAATTTTTTAAAAATTAAATTTCATATAATTAATTAATTAATATAAAAATTAATAATAATAATTTTAAACTTTTATATTTTATTTAAATTTATTTTTTTTTCTATTTCTATAATTCTCTACTAGGTATTATATTTTAGTATATATTATTTTTAAATATTATATAAAAAATTTCCTGAAAATATTCGATAGATTTTATATTAATATATAATTTTTTGGGTTTGATATGTATAATAGAAAAATTGTTTATTGACAATTATTTTATTTCTTATAATATTTTAAGACTTCAAAAGTAATAATATATACAAACAAGTTTAAAATATTGAAATACAAAAGATAAATAAAAAACATATAGATAAAAATTTATAAAGTAATAAAATTTTAAAAACTTAAAAAATTAAAGTAAAAAACCATCATCAGTTTGAGTAATTTTAAAAAAAATTATCTAGTTTGGAACAAAACGTTTTTAAACATTCTGGTCGTAAGATTTGATTTGTTACTTCTCTCTTGTAACACACTTCATGAGAAAAAAAAAATAAAGAGAGTGGCTTTTTTAAAAAACCTTTTAAAATTTTATTGAGAATTAAATTTAAAAAATATAATTTTTGTGTAAAAGATTTTAAAGCAGATAATAAATTCTTATAAGTCATATTTTCAAATTATTTTAAATTAATATTTTTTATTATCTCTCTTTTTGAGATTTAATCTGAATACTTATCTTTATATTTGTAATTTTTTATTATCTTATTTAAACTTTAAAAATTTATATATATATATATATATATTTAGATTTATAATTTTTTTATCATTTTATATAAATTTTTAATTTTTTAATACTTATGTTTATATTCATAACATTCATAATATTTATTATCTAATATTTTTAATTAAAATTATCATCAAATATTCATATTTAGTTTTGTATACTTTTTTTTCTTAGAAATTTCAAAGTTCTTCATTTTTATCTTTTTTTTTTTACAAAATTGACATAGTTTTTAAATACTCTTTTTCATAATTATTTCTTTATTTAATTATAATAAATTTACTTTTAATTATTAAACTATATATTTATTTATTGTAAAATAAAATACTTGTGGATTGCATACACTATTAACAAGTATTTTTATATATATATAATTTATTGTTTTCAATTTTTCTAACATATATAACTTTAAACAACGTAAGAAGATATATATAATAAACTTTTTTATTAAAAATTGTAATATTTAATAGTATCAATTCATTAATTACATTAATTTTTATAATTCTTATTATAAAATTATTATATATATAATTTTTTGTGTCCAAATTAATTGAATAATTTGTTACCAAATTAATAAAATAACTTGTTAATCAATAATTATAGATCGGGCATAAAGTTTTGAACGATTATATACATATTTTATATTTAAAATTTTGTACGAGGTTTTAAAAGATTATTACATGTCTTCCAGTTTAGAAATATGTAATTATATTTTATTAAAGTTCCTTTTATTTTATTATGTTTCTTTAATCAAATTAGACAAAAAGTGTTATGTGAAAAATATATATTCAAATATCATATATTTAATTTTGTTTATACTGTCTAAAATAAAGAGGATAATGCATTAAACTAAAGTTAATAAACTTATATTATATATTGAGACAAAAGATATTATTATTTCTTAATTTATAATTTAGTTATTAATTTTAAAAATATTACTTTCAAATTCATTCTTATTTAATAGAATAAATATTTATTATTGTTTAATTTATACAATATTAAATTTAAAAATAATAATGTAATATATTTAAATTTTTAATTTTAAAACTATTTCAATTTAATAACATTCATATAATTTATTAAGATTTGATTAATTATTTTAAAAATAAAAATAAATGATTATGGCGAAACATTAATTATGAATGAATTAATTAACAATAGAATAACTAGCTTAAAAAAATAAAATTGAAGTAAAAAATATAAAAAAATTGGCGCCAAAAAGCAAAGGCAAGCATGAAGTAGTCATCTGAATCCCTTCAGTTGTGGCCATTTTTACTTAAACAAAAATGGATGAATTCACTTAAGTAAATCTTTCACTTCTATAGACCTTTTCCTCTTTTTTTCACCTCTCCAACTCTTCCACTTTCACTCCACCATCCTCACTCCTCTAACCCCCTCTTCCTACTTCACCCAGCCCCTTCTTGTTCTCCTTCCCTACCACCACTATCTCTCTCTCTCTCTCTCTCTCTCTCTCTCTCCACCTTTTTAGTTTCCCTCATTAACAATCTCAGCTCAACCTCTTTTCTCCTTTCACTTACTCCTTTTCCAATAAAGAAATAAAAGGGGAAAGACTCTAACGGTGGAGAGGATAAGAGTTTTAATGAAGGGAGGGGAGGAAATATAATGCATTTTCTATTATATACTTAAATGGTTAAACATACCAATTAATTGAAGGGAATTGAAGTTTTGGGTCCCTCCCCTCCTATTCCTTCCAACATATTGAACCAAATGAAAAATATTATGAAAATCCCTCTCTCCTCGAACCAAAAGTATGTTGGTATTGGATCTCCTATTTAAGAGTTTCACCAAAAAGGAGAAGACAAGAATAGCAAATCTCATAATAATGATCCAAAGTGTTGCCTTATTATTTTAAAAAAAAAATATCCTTAATTCCTTGTAAATATTATTGAAAGACTTCAAACATCCAAATGAGCGTTACTCGCGAAAGGAAGAAGAGTGTTTACCCACAACCTTACATCAAATGATCACAGGTTCATAAAAAACTCAGGGAGAGAACTGTTAATTGCTGATTCATCTATAACATACTTTGAGTCTATGTACACAAGTGTATTAATTTGTAGCTAGATAACAATAGGAAGTATCTGTGTGTAGCTGTAACTCCGTTACAATGTAATTTTTTCTCTGATAATGTGTATAAAGTGTTACTAATGAAACCTCTTTCTTGTAGGTTCATATGTGAGACCAGCCTATACACTTGAAATTTTCCTATCAATCAACCTTTCCTAGATATCTCTAATCAGTACCATATGATCAAATTTATCAAGATTCCAGCCTCCAAATAAGCCTGAATGGCACCCATCAGAAACAAAAAGTTAAGTTTTAAGAGCAGAATTAGTCCAGAGTGGAGGTAGTGGTAGCAGGTTTCTAATTACAAAGCCACTTCCCCAAAAAGAGGCAAGACAGAGACCCATTATAGCCATAGCAATAACAGAACATGCAGGAGGAACTGCTTGACTACTTCCCAAAAATTGGGTTGCAAGAAGGCCAGCAAGGGTGGAACTCTGCATCCCAGTGCACAGTGAAATTGTCCTACTCACCTGTTCTTCCTGCCTGTGACAGCATTTATACCAGTCAATTTGAAATACGGCAGAAAAATAAACTATTACTTCCAAGTGTTTTACACTTTCACTCATCCAACTTGAAAACAAAAAGTATTGCGAGAAAAATTATGTTATATGACACATTCTAAAATTAGTTCAAAGCAATAGATTTTAGTCACAAATATCATTTCATTTCAGATTTCTTATATATAGGTGAATGCTGATACACTCAACTTCAATATGAAACAGCTTAATCGAAATAAAATAAACCATTTAATTTAAAAACAGTCAATAGATATAACCAAGTATAATATGTTTCTGGAAGGAATTTAACCTTGAAGCTCTTCATCAAAACACATATTTGTCAATTTCAAAACATACCAATTTTTGTGTAGTGATCAATTTCAATTAAAGTCTTCATCAAGACATATCTTTTTGTCCATTAGAAGCTTGTAAGGCCTAGTCCATAAAAATAGTGGCTATAATTGCTAACTAGTTACAAAAGAGGCCATCAAACAAGCAAATATAACTAGGCATTGAGTTGTGCATTTACTCATAAAATTTAAGTAGTTTTCATTTTAATCTTACTTTTAAAAGTGAGCATACCTCAAGGATGGAATCTTTGAGAACCAATATCCCAAAGTGAAACCAACAGCATGAAATGTTATCACTGGTAAAACCAATTGGAGACCTTCGCCTGACAAAATTTGAGTCTGGTTCAAAGCAAGAGGGCTGCCAATGCACATTGAAGTACAAATCATAGCAACAAAGGGCATCATGGGCTGAAGAACAGATACTACTGGCTTTGCATATGTATTGAGAAGAAGACCAAGTGTCACTGGAACAAGAACAACCTGTCGAATATTTACAAATAAACAAGTAAATAAACTGAATTCTTGTAGAGTATCCTAGATGCACTCACTAGTCACTTCTACATACCTGTAGAATGGACTTTGACATGGCAACTGCATCAACCGGCACTACTGATCCAATCAAAAGACCAGTTAATAGAGGTGTAACAATAACTGATGCAATTGTGGTGTAGCTTGTGAGAAGAATGCCAAGGGCTACATCCCCTTTGCTTAAAAAGTTGGCGTAGCTGGATAGCTGAGCCCCTGAAACACAAGCCGTGAGGACAAAGCCCGCATAAAACATCCTAGACAAACCAAAAGCCTTTGCAACCAAGACCCCAAGAGCAGGTTTAAGCACATATTGTGCAATTAAACCAATAGAAAGTGGCACAGGTCTGCAACAAAATGAAAATAATGAATGCAGGAAGAAGTTCCACAGCTTCACATGTTCGAAAGTTAAGCAGAAACTAAAGAAAGTAGTGATGAAAGTTATACCTTTTAAATGCAAGAGCAAAGTCGTCTATGGATAGTCTTATTCCAATAGACAACATTATCCCACCAAGAGCAGGAGCATATAACTCTTTAGATACCCTGGCAAGTTAAAAGCTTTCACTTAGTTCTTCAATTCTATACTTCAAATGCAACTACAAATTCTTAACAGGAAAAGAGAGTAAACAAAAGGCCAGTCAGAGTCCGAGAAAGACTCAAATCTTCATCAGAAAACAACAGCCTATGAAGCACAAGTACATATTACCCAAAAATTAAAAATTATAACAAACAAATGTTCATTAACTAAAGAACATTTAATACCCTTTATTAAATATTTCCAATTAGTTAAATAAAATAATTATGAAATACTTTTTTAATTTAATTAAAATACATAGATATCCTATCATCTGATTATATATTATCATATAATTTAAAAGTATCTTATTTTATAATAATTACTTTAAAAATTATATCTAAAACAAATTCTAATCGGTATTTATTTATGTTTTCAAGACAGCAGATATCATTTCCTAACAATAAACACAATCAGCATGAAACCAGAACAACCATTAAAAAAAAAAAGCCACTGTACCGTGCAATTTTTCGATTAAAAACAAATCACTATCTTTATTAGAGGGCTCTAAAGAAAAACCAGAGAAGCCCACCAAGTAAAAGTGGAAGGTTGAGCAAGAGCAGCAACAGCAGTGGCAGCAACCACAAAAGGAAGCAATGCTGACAAAACCTGGGACCAATCTCTTTGTCCCACTTCACCACCAACACTTCCATCATCGACCCCAAAAGAAAGCAACGAAAACTTCCCTTGTCTACGGTGGAATCCAACTCTCCCACGAAACTGCCACGTGGAGCACGCCAAACTCCACACCGAACCACCCTTTAAGCCTCTCTGAACCCTCGTGGCTGCAAATGAAGCGCGAGAGGGTAAAGCTTGAAGCTTCGGCGTCGTGAGAATTCTGGGACACGGAACCGGAATTGAGGCCATTGAAGAGGAACGCTGAGTTCTGGCCACTGAATAAGGAAATGGGTGTTGCCGGCGATGACCGTTCGGTGCCGCCGGTGAGGGTAGAGGGAAGAGAGAGAGAGAGCAACGAGAAGGTGAGTGAGAAGAGAAAAGAAGATGAGGTTATGGAAAAGAGATTCGCATAAACAAATGAATGTGAGTGTGAGGGCGATGGTTGAGTAATAATCATAATCAATCTATTTGGGTGATACATACTTACATGGTTGTGAGTGAGTCGTTGATTTGGTTCCGGATTGTGTATAGGGTATATTTTAATGTTAAATACAGCTATACTGTAGATTATTTTTTCTTGATTTTAAGAAAAATCTAAAAAATATAAATTAAAAATATTAGAATTTCCATAATAATTATTTGATAAATAAATTATATGATTTTTAAAAATTTAGCAATAAAATAATGAGTATACATAAATTTAAAATTAATTTGAGAATATAAATAAATAAAATTTGAGAAAAAAAAGTAAAGTTTATATAAAGAGATTAAGGTTGAGATCGGAAGGAGAAAATATCTTCACATAAAAAATTTGAAAACAATTAATAATTTGATAAGTATGAATATAAAAATAAATATTGAATAATAATAACGATATGTGTATAAAAAGATTATCATTTTTATGTTTAAAAGTAAAAAGTTAAATATATAATATAAATATTTGTTGTATGTTAGAAGTTAAACTGTATTTTTAGGACCAATTTGATAAATTTATGATTAAATAACGAAATTAATAACGTTTATATATTTTTTTAAAGATGCAAATGAATAATTAGCTATATTAGTTGTATGTTTGAGAATTAATTTATAAAAATGCAATGCTAGGAAAGTTAGTGTTTTGATTGATTGTATTATTTAGTGTTTTAATTTCCTTTTACTTTTGTTGAAGTGAGGGAATATATATATATATAGGGTTAAAAATATTTGTGCAATTTATATATTTAATTTCAATTAAAGACTAAGTTTTGTACGATAAAATTCTAACTTTTAGTTTTAATATAAAATTAATAAATTTTAATTTTAGGGTAATATTGATATAAAATGCTTACATTGTTTCACATTATAGATATAAATTTTATATTAATTTTTATATAATTTATAATTTATAATTAGATAATATTATAATATTTTATTCTGTCAAAATAGTTAAATTAAATTCAAAATATTCAACATGTGTATCATGAAATAAATTAATGTGTTAATAGTTTAAGTAAGTTTAGTTTAGAAAATTAAAGTTATGATTTTGTAATTCTCTTTCTTAGGCTTAGGCTCTGTTTTTATATTAAAAGAAACTTTATATATAAAAAATAAATAATTTTATATAAAATTAATATCAAGCTTTGATTTTTATATAAAATTAACATTATATTTTTAGGTGTTTTTTATGTGAAAACAAAATTCAAAAGAATATAAATAAAAGTTTCACAAATTGTGTTCATGTGTAAAATTTAGAATAATTTTTAAAATATAAATAATAAAGATTTTAGATAAAAATTTATATGAAGAGAATATTTTAAAAGTAATTAAAGTTAAGATTTGGTAACTAACACTTGATTTAAAAATAGTAAATGACCTACGCAATAGCATGTGGATAAATTAGTAAGAAATTATTTTAGCTTATTACTATGATTATTTGTTTTAACTTCAACATTTGTCACTCGTCTATATTCATATAAAACTTATTTAAGAACATGTTTTAGTTATTATTTTGATTTTAAAAATCATTCTCATTTGGTATTGATCAAATTTGGCTTAGAAGAGGTTTAAGTTTTTTAAGAATAATATGAGAATTACATTGTTGTTGGAGTTTTCATTCCTAAGTAACCATTTTTCTTACTCTTTCATTTTTAGAAAACAACTTGTGTATTTATTATAATTTTAGTTTTGCATCTTAATAAATATCTTAGCATAACAATATATCTATTAACCTTCACTTTTATTAAATAAAGTAATAAACAAAAAAACATACATACGTTGAAATTTTATCATGTACAAGTTGTATACTTGGAGACAATGAAAAATGCTGCTGAAATTTTGTCAAGTATGATATTTAAGGACTAAGTGTTAATTAAGTGAAGGAAAAAAAATTATTTTTGAATGCGATAGAGCTATACCTTATAAAGTAGAAAATGACAAGTTCCTTTATATACTTGAGAAGTTCATTTATTAAACACAATTATATCATCAGTTTTATTATATAGTACTTTTGGTGCTAAGCTTAAAATAGAAATGGTTGTACATCAAATGTGGATGTATAATAGATTTCTTCTTGCTTGAAAGGGATACACAATATAATTTTTTAAAGCCATTGAAGAGTTTTTTAATTTTTCCTTGTAAACAAGCAAAGTATTTGAATGAAGGGTAATAATTCCTATGCAATATTACATTCTTTTGAAGCTATCACTTGCAAAGTGAATTAATATAACTGCTTTGAGGATGATCACTTACAAAGCGAACTAATATAATTGCTTTGAGGGTGACTTTGGAGAGTAGCTCTCTAAAGTTACTTAATAGAGTAGTTATGTACCACAGCTCTCACAAATTAAAATTTTGAAAATTTATAAACCTACTTATAGATGAAATGTCACTAAACTCTTAACAGCTCAATAATTTTTTTTTGTCTAACAAAGTTGATTCCTTTTACAACAGTGAATATCAATTTTCACACCTCTTGATATTTTGATTTTTTTTTCTATTTACCAATGTTTTGTTCATTTAGATATGAATTATTTAGTTAATATAATGTATAAACTCAAATTCCAATAAGATAATCAATTATAGTTTGTGATTAAAAAAAACTCACAAATGAAAAAATTTTAAATTTCAGATATACAAACTCAAATTTAAACATAATAATAAATTAATTTTGATTTGTAATAAGAAATTTACTATAGAAGAAATTTCAAAATTCAATTTCGCAGTTAATACTTTGGATAACAGTTATAAAAACTGCTCTTCAAGTACATTAACTTTGGATAACAGTACATGTTAGAGCTTTTTAAACTACTCTCTAAAACAATGCATAATTGCTCTTAACATCTTTTATGTTGTATGTAGTAATAGGGTTCATATAAATTACAAAGTGATTAAACTTAACTTTATAAAAATCCATTATCAACATCTATAGTATCAAAATCACCAATCAACTTCAAAATGCATTTAAGTTTGTCCCTCATCAAATTATATCTTATGTTCTTCCTTGGTAACTTAATTACTAGAGAATCTTCCTATAGCTAATGCAATTCATTGAAAGTTGAATCATCCACAAATACCTTTGGCCTAAGCATGTTTCTATCTTCCCACCTCACACAAATTAGCTTTTGTGCAATTAGGTTCATTTTTACTCTTAGTGCAAGAGGTGGCTTAGCACCTATGACCTTGTCTTTAAAAGAGATTTTATTTGTTGTTCAAATTGTCCTCCATTTGGCAACTTATCTAGTAGGATGAGATCTTTCAATTGAACCATGAAAGTGATACCTTCGTACACTATTTTTATTTTCTCATCTTCAATCAAACTAAATTAACTTAAAAAGTTTGATAAATTAATAGAAATAGCACATAACTTATAAATTAAGGATTATGTAACATCTTCAATTTTGTTGCCCTTGTGTGAAAAAAAAATAGGAATTTTGATGCAAGATATCTCGCTTAACTGAGATAGGTCTCACTCGAGCAAGATATAACTTTTTAAAAGAGGACGTCTTGGAGCTTTCTTGCTCAAGCAAGAGAGGATAAGGCTACCCTAACTGTCCTCTTGCTTAGGCGAGAAGGGATCTCACTCAAGCGAAAAACAGTTCGCCCAAGCGAGAAGTCATAGGAAAATAAGGAGGTCTCTAGACCTATTCTTGCTCAAGTGAGATGGAGCTAACCTAGGCGAGATTGCCTCTTGCTTAGGCGAGAATGTTCTCGCTCTAGTGAAAATAGCAAAAAAAGGAGTAGTTTCACTATTTGGTTGTCTCGTTCAGGTGAGGAAGGCTTGCCCTGGCGAGGGTAGAGCTCGCCCAAGTGAGAATCTGTTTGCTCAAGCAAGAACGCATGGGTTAAGAGGGGTATTTAAGGAACCCACCCCAACTCTAAAAATATTCATTTCTCACCAAACAACCTTCTCTCTTTTTTTTTCTCTGTTCTCTCTCTATCCCCTCTCAAGAGAAGCTCTCCCGAACTCTGAATCTCTTCCAGATCTGAGCTTAAACATCTATTTCATTCAAAACCAAGTAAGTTTCTTGGAGCTTAGATCTCTAGATTTATCCCATTTCTTTGGTCATCTCTTTCTCAATAGGTGTTTAACTTGTAATATTTAGAGAGATCTCTATATTTCAGACAAAATCTTTCATTAGAAGTGTTGTACCTTTACTTTGGACCTCAAAATGTATCTGATATTACAGACTTGTTTCAAGGTAAGGGGAGTAGATCCTGAACCCCTAACTCTTATTCTGTGTCTTGGTTAAAAACATCAATACTTTATGCTGAAAAGTAAAGCCTTCATAAACTGATATTTTTAGAGCATGAAAGTTTGATGATTTATTTTTTAAAACACCTAGATAGGATTTTGTAACAGAAATTATGAGTAAAACAAGTTTTTAAAAAAAATTGTGATCGTGATGATAATATATACGTATAATTATTGATGTATTATGATTTTGAACAATAGAGGATCAAAAGTGTTAAACCTTAGGATAGACGATTTTATAAAAAGACCGAGAAAATATGATCTCCAACAATTTCTCTATGGTTTAGCTTAATTTGTTTAACTATGTGACTGGTTTGAGACCGAGGGTGACCGACCTTCGGCACACTTCATTGATATAGATGATGTGAGATAGGTGAATGAATTGTCAATATTGGAACTATGTATTATGATGAGCGTGAGTTTGTATTTGATAATCAATGAATGTGGAGATTGGTGAATTCATATCATTATGAAAAATATTTGATTGTTTTGAATGGTAATGTGTATTTACTCAAAATTTATGAATAAAGAGCTGATGTGAATAAGTATGCATGTTAAATTAAAGTTGTTTATATTATCAAGTAAATAAGGAAAATAAGGATAAATTGTGTAAAATATGAAATGCTGAAATGATGATGAGAAATGCGTCATGTGAAAATACTGAAGTGTTAATAAAATGAATTGGAATGAAAATTTGCTAAG